GGCCAGTTCTGTCCTGGGCTGCTCCCTAGACACTCTGGAGGAGGTGGGCAACAGGAGGATGCTAACTAAGCTAAAAGCTATGATGGACAGTCCCCCCCACCCCCTCCAGCCCGCCCTGACAGCACTAGGTAGCTCCTTCAGCCAGAGACTGTTACACCCGCGCTGCAAGAAGGAGAGATACCGCCGCTCGTTCCTACCGACTGCTGTCAGGCTGCTGAATAAAAAATAACATGATGTGGAAGACAATTGTAAATAGCACTGCAACCTTATCCATATCTGTATTTATATTGCACTTAATTGAACGGTGTTTGTTTTCTTTTCTTCTTTCTTCTTTCTACCCATTATCTTGCTGCTGTAGACTGTAAATTTCCCCAGTGTGGGACAAATAAAGGATATCTAATCTAATAATACGGTGCGCCATATGGTCGTGAAAATACGGTCGTGAGTGAATTTAATGCATATAAAATCACAAATATGATTTGTTTTCACAATACATTACTGAGTTTTGAGTGCATATGAAATTGTAAATTTGGTTCAATGGTGATGTAAAATGCAAAATGTGTGTACTGTATACAGGGTTTTTTTTTTAAGTCTTGACGGTTGGAGACCAGCGACCAGCTGTGCCTCGCTGTCTTAAACCCGGCATTAGATTTTTGTCTATATGTGATACCTTCTGTGCATCTGATGGGCTATACATTGCGACATCGCCACATTATGCAATGACAATTCACATTATGAATCCCCGCAAAAACAATGGGCGGGCTTGCACAGCTGAATTGACCTCACCCCCATCACACCCCGGGCCGGTTGTAAAAGAAAAGCAGCAGAGGCCATGTGCTGTGGTGTTGGGCCAAGTGGAGTAGTGTGGTGTGGGTCTGTTTGGGGCTAATGGAAAAGGGGCATAGGTGTACCATTTGAGGGTACAGTCCCATCGATACGCCAATGGTCTGTTAAAAGATAAGAACTTAGCACCTTTTTTTTCTGACAGTGTACATATTGTTTACAAAAGTCAAACAAGGTGTGAAGGATGGGATGTCTACCTTGAGCAAGTATGTTCCACTGCATTATCCGTATGGACGGCCCAAGCTTGTGGCGGCAGGGTGGAGCATCCTGAGGATAGATCAGATCTCTGTGGGGCCTGGCTGGACGCCTTCTCAGGGCCTCCTCACATTCTCTGAGCAGCTGGTCCGGGTCAAGTTCAGTCAGATTTTTGTGGTCCAGATTCTCATCTGTTTGGTCCAAGGTGTTGCTGTTAAGTGTCTGGGCCACTGCACTATACAGCCTGCTGCCGTTGCTCCCCATTGGACTAACTAAAGGATATTTAAAAAAAAAAAACAACAACAAAAACAATTATCTGTTTGTGTACTACTGATCTTCCAGCATTCACTCAACAGCTATAAAGTGCATCTGCATTCCCACCTGTAAGGAAGTTAAAATAAGTACAGTATACTGTAAAAACAAACATTCTACAAACAGCAAATTTACACAATATAGCAGTTATTTCCCCCACAGCATACAAAGTACAATCTTTCTAAAAATGCTGCTATATAGTATATATATAGGGTACCAATAAGTTGCACTATATTAAGTAAGGAGGTCTGAGTGGTGAAAGTCTCAATTGTTCACAGTTCCACATTTCCAAGCGTTTTTCATCTAATCTAATTTGGGTCAAATTTTCACTCTCTCGAAAGTCACATGTCAGCTTAAATCTGTGGCAGAAATGGCTGGACAGGAAATACTTATACAGAAGATTCTCAGTCACAGCAGTGTTTTTATAGAATATGCAGAGTGAGGAGATGCACAGATGGACAGATTTAACCCTTTCATGCACCCTTTAACCTGATAACATGAAAAGCTGTCCACTGTGGTAACCGCTGTCCCTGAAAGGGTTAAAAACAAAACAGTACTGTGTAAAAGTTGTCATTCGATTCAAAGTGTCAGTCTGTTTTTAATAGAATGCACACAGACAGGAATTGTGTTGACACATTAAATATAAATATACATAAACGATACTCACATGGGAAAAAAAATATATTAATCAGGTGCGCACACGGACCAACAATTTTAGCTCCTCCAGTGGGTTTTCATCCGACACTGGTCATCACTTTGCCCTCATAGCTCAGTAAGTAAGCAGGCTGCTGCATGTCAATAGTGTGCCTTGAGACAATCATGATACTGTGGCAGCCAGATAAAGCGGTGACTCAAGCACTTCTCTCCTTCCCCGTCTCCTTCTCCTTTGGCCCCCGCCCCGTTTACTCACAAGCAGTTATAACAGGGTGTTCACACACACAATATACAGGGTGTCCATAAAGTCTCTTTAGCATTTTAAAAATGTATTTTAAATGCAATTGATGAGATATTTTATTCAGATTGTTGTATTGTATTCAGTGTTTATTCAAGTTTTTTATCACACTGCATTTGTGTGCATTTGTGTGTGATATCGTGTACAGTGAACCCTTGCAATAACGTGTGAAATGGTAGAGACTTTATGGACACCCTGTGTGTGTGTGTGCATATATATATATATATTCGGGCTTGAGAAATGTAGTCGGATGGTGACTAAGAGAGGAAAGGTAGTCCGCACTGAAGGGGTCTCACTCCCTGAAGGAACAATAGCAGACATTGAGGACAGCTACAAGTACCTCGGTATACCACAAGC